TTGAAAGAAAACTCCCGAAGAAAAGCTAGGAAGCGTAGAAAATTGGGGAAATTCAGCAAGATGGTAGGTAGGATGGTTGAGGGCGTTGTATTTCGGAAAGATTTTTCCAACGGGAGGACGTGCTGTGATTCCTGAACCAAATGTGCAACAAGATGTATCCTAGGGCTGCTGAGTGCTCTCATAATTTAGAGTTTTGGCTCTCAACATCCGTTCCTTATCTCATAGTCATTCTATTTTTGTAGGACTTTCAACTGGGCTCGTTTCGACCACTTCAGCGAGAGGTGATCAATGCTATTATGTCCGACTTGGATACATTGGTTGTTATGAGTACTGGAGCTGGGAAAAGTCTATGCTACCAGCTCCCAGCTGTTGCCATGAAAGGTGGGAGTTATTTTTCTTTTTCTCACCCTTAAAGAGCCACTAGAACACTCCTAACCATCTACTCAGATTTCATATTACTCTAATTTAATGTTGTGCCCTTCGAGGTTTTGGAAGAAATCAGTTATTCCACTAAAAAGCTTGAGAGGCGCAGCACTAGATGCTAAGTAAACGGAAAAAAAGGCGCTGTTCTGCTTGGGAAGGGCATTGTCCACTTCCGCTAGGTTTTTTGCTAGTTCATGTTACCTAACAGCTTTTCGTGAGGCTTGCAAACTCTCGTGAAGCTGCGAAATGGTGTAGCCACTTAGGTTACAAAAATTACAGGTCTCCCCCCCCCAAGCCGAACAGCGCCCGGAAAAACCAACATGTTGAACTCACAGGAAAAGAGAAGCAGAAGAATACTGTAAACAATTTTCTGCAGGTCTTATCGTGGTGATATCGCCATTGATCTCGCTGATAGAGGATCAGCTGGCTGGCCTTCCGGAAAGCTCGGCATTGAAGGAGCAGCTTTGAATCAATCGACATCAAAAGAAGATGTTAGACCTTTTTTCACTGAATTCTTGTTTCTTAGCAAGTCGTTCAACTTAACATAATTACAGGCAAAGCGAATAGAAGCACAAGCTCGTTCAGTATATATGGTTCTTCTCTTCGTGCTGCTTTACATTCACACGCTGAGAAAATTAGCAAAAAGTAAAAGGCTGATGAATAAACTGGAAAAATCAGCTGAAGTAGGAGCTCTGAAGGTATGTTCACTTTAGGATATCGGTGTAGAGTTCAACTGTGGCATATATTCCATTGTTGGTGGTAAACATTTTGAGAAGAGGGCAAACCTAGACTTTAGTCATTCGAGGTGAAAATCTAAAAATTTAGCAGGGCTCAGCTGAAGACCCTGCCTACCTTGTCATTTATCCCTGTCTTGCTCGCCCCGTATTCTGCCTTGCGCCCTGAATTAAGTTGACAGTTTTCCTTCCTTAGGAATTAGGAAAACAACTTTTAGTGGGTTCACACTTTGCACCAACTTTTTAAGCGCGAACTCTCGGCACACGCTTAAAGACAGTATCCGCGCTCGAGAGGCCTTCAAAATGACTTCGCGCCTTCTGGAACCCTCTGCGCCTTGATGAAGATGATCCCGCTTTTATCCATCAATGGCGCGCGATGAGGAAGTTATCGCAATTTCGACAAGGCTCGCTAGGCTCACGGAGACGGTAGGTGGACGAGGCGTCTGGTCCCGAACTGCATCCGTCCCTTTAAAGCCCGCGCGTCCCTTTAAGCCCGCGTCCCACTGGCATTTTGCCAAAGTTGGCTCATAGCTCAGCTAAAGGTCTTACTTCGGTCAGGCTTGTAAACATGTGTGAAAGTGCGGACCAAAGTTGGCTCATAGCTCAGCTAAAGGTCTTACTTCGGTCAGGCTTGTAAACATGTGTGAAAGTGCGGAACCATTAGTTTTTTTTGCTTATGGAATGTAGTGCTTGCTTTTCCAATGGTAGGGAGATTTGTTGTCAAGTGGGGTTTGTTGTCATTTTCTTTCTCTTTCTTTTTTTTTTTCTTGTCAATTTCTCAAGAAAACTCCAGCAACCTTCCCAATTTTCTCTGTAAGCAACTCTAATCATCCCATCGTTGGAAATTGCAGTACGTTGCGAAGCGGCGCTGTAGCGCGACGCTGTAGCGCTACGCTGTAGCGCGACGCTGTAGCGCTACAAGTATGAACGCTGCCTTACGTTCGAAAGTATCCTATTTCGAAAGTTGGGACGCAATTGCGGCTGCCGCGATTGTTTTTATATCGAATTCTGGCAGCCACGCCCGGCACACTCGTCCAGGCCCCGCCCCCACTGCTAAAGGTAGGTTTGGGTTCAAGGTGTTCCCGAAGATTTTTCTGCTTCTTTTTCTACTGAGAAGCTAACTATGGAATACTGGTGCATGACAGAGTACAATTGCCCGCAATACTTGATCGCGATAATTGTCTTTAAAAAGCTGCGTCGATACTTATAGTTTTGCAGTGCAACTGCGAAATCGCCTAAACGCATCAAAACCTAACATGGTTAATCAACGGGACGATTTTACCTGCGCAACGCAGAATATAGCACGAGCGCTATGATATAGGACGAGCTAGGCAAGGTCTCGGCCGATAGTTCCACTTTCTTCAAGTCTAATTCTTAACGACTAGTTTTGAAGTTCTCAGTTATCTTGGGAAGTTTATCGACGACTGGTTGTTCGCTTAAGCGATAACAAAAATTATTGCAGCGTGAAGGACAGTAAGATAGAAAAAGATTGATCCGCTCATTTTTTAGTGATGTTTCAGGTATTCGCCATCGATGAAGTGCACTGCTGTTCTCAATGGGGTCATGATTTTCGGCCAGATTACAAGTTTTTGAACATATTGAAACGACAATCCCAATGTCGCCGCTGGCTTGGCTTAACAGGCAACGGCAACCCGCCCAACGTTTCTGTCTGTGTGAAGAATATGCTAGATATTCCTAGTGAGTTTTTTATTATTCCGTAAATGATGCCCTTTCCATGCTTTTTCCAACTTCGGCTAGCTCTGGGTACTTGTCAGTTGTTCAGTTCTTCCATTCCAGATGCTGTGGTCTTCAAAGCCGGTTTCAATCGTCTTAATTTACACTATGAAGTGGTTCAAAAGCCAGACGGCGATGTCACTGCTGAACTTGCCCGACTGATAAAAACCAGGTAATTTATCCAATGACTCTAACGTTTGTGTGATTGCGATGAGCTGAGCTTTCTAGGTTTGCCAATCAATCGGGTATTGTATACTGTTTCTCAAGAAAGGACTGTGAAGAAGTTGCAGCACAGCTTCGGTTGGTACTTACTTTTCTTTCTTTGCAAATTCCAAACTGAAGAGTGCTTGACCCTTCGAAGAGTGGTCGTATTTGGAATATTGCCAGATCACGTTATTAGTGTTAGCTTCTGTGGTCTGTTTTTCTGCCAAGTGTACTTGTATGCATTTCTAGAGAAGCCGGTATACGTGCAGCATTCTACCATGCCGATATGGACTCGTCCCGACGGACAGCTGTTCATGAGAAATGGGTTAGCGGCAAGTATAATGTCATCGTAGCTACTGTAGCTTTCGGTTAGTTTTCTTACCTGATTTATGTACCTTTCCTCTCAGTCTATATTTAGCTAGCCAACACCGGTAACACTGTACGGCACTGTGGCAATTTTCCATGATATGTCGCATTTTGGGGAGATAGAGAAGACATTCGTACTTTAGTTCGCTGCGGGCGGTGGGCGTGTCAACACTGTGAGTGCGAACCACGCGCGCGCCACACCGTTTTCTGCCTTTTTGTTGAAGCGCGCATGCGACAAAAAGTGCTAGAAAACGATTAGTACGAACTATGTGATACAGTCATATCACTTGCTGTCTTCAGCAGTTGGTTGAGAACGGGTTTGGCACCGCGCCAAACTTATCCCGGCTGACCCTAACCGTCCGCAGCTGACTACATTATAGTTTGTCGCTCGCTGCGCAGCAATTCTGCGAATGTGTATGCAAGTCAAATAGAGGCAGTGAGCCTCATGGGTTTCAAAAGCTGAAGCAGGTTCCATTCGGAGTTAATAGCGAAATCTTTCAGGTCCCTTTAGCATACAAATCGAAATGAAGGAGGCGACTTTGGCAGGAAAATCCTCTCTATTCGTCGCTCGCCGCGCCCAGTGCGACATATTGCGATTGCCTTGTCACATTTTTGGCATTTTTATGCACCCACTTCGGAGCTCATTTCTCGCTACTGCTCGTCGATTTAATGCTCATTCCCTCTAGCTCCTAACCGTTTCTCCCATTCACTGGCCACTTTCTTCAGAACAAGGGGAAAAGCTGGTCGTGGTATCGAATGATTTGGGTGGATCCGCACCAAAACGCCATGCCTTCTCGGAACTGCTCCGAGTTTACCGTACTCCAAAGGCTTTTTGTTGATATTTCTTAATTTACATTGTTTTGCCATTTTCCAGGAATGGGTATTGACAAACCTGATGTTCGTTACGTCATTCACCATGCACTACCTAAATCTGTAGAAAACTACTTCCAGGTATTTTACCGTTGATAGTTCACGATCTGTTCGATTCGCAAGATTCAAATAAATTGTGGGCGAAGTTCGGCTTGGGGGGGGGTGCTCCTGTCACTTCCTTCTTGGCATCGTCCCATCGAGCCATGAAGTAAAGATCTGTGGAATACTGCATTAAAACAATGAACACGACGATGAGAAGTATCGAAAGTGCAAAATGTCTCCCCTCCCAAGCCGAACTGCGTCAAATTTTGTTTGGTTTCGTTTTTAGGAGAGTGGACGTGCTGGTCGTGATGGACTTCCAGCAGTTTGTATTCTGTATTTCCGCTTGTCGGATGTATTCCGGTCAAAGCACAATGGTGTGCACAGAACGTACCGGTATTAGGAATCTGTACGCAATGGTCCGTTATGCAACCACGGTAAGTAACGGTCAGTGTCGAGTGTCCTCGTCGTTCTGGTAATGGAAAACGTTCTAGCCTGGTGTGTGCCGACGTAGGCATTTGGCCGATCATTTTGAGGAACCTTGGACCAGTGAGCTCTGTCCAAAAATAAAAGGCCCCCTTCGTGATGTGTGCGCAATGCTCTGCTGAGGTTACAAATGGATATTTCGACAAATTGTCCGACTAAATGTGACACTATTCGTGAGTGGTGAATGTTTAGTGTGTAACTTTTAGTGAGTTTGATCAGTCAGTACCTCATTGGTAGCTATTGTTAAATGACCAGAAAACCTTTTCAGCAAAAAACCAATGACCGTGGTTCAAATCGCATTACTGGTGCCAAACTTGTTGAGCTTTGTGACCAAACAAAAGCTCGGATCTAAGGTGAGCTGTAAGGCTAAAGTTATTCATACAGTTGTACTGCTGACGGTATTCGTTCTTGCAGCAATTGGGCGACGAGGGACATTCGCTTTCTCGCTGCTTCAGTAGTTCCAGTTTACAAGTCTGTGGTGAAACCTGTTAAGTGTTGTGAAGCTGGGGCCAAGGGGGAGGGGCATTTGCTTTCTCGCTGCTTCAGTAGTTCCTGTTTGCAAGTTTCTCTCTGATGAACACCTGTGAAACGACAAGTTTCTCTCTGATGACACCTGTTAACTCTTGTGAACTTGGGACAACTTTGTCGACCCACCATGGTAAATGGTATTTTTGTGGTAATCCATTCGTTTCAAGAGTTGACGGGTGGTTCCTACGAACTTTGGCTGCTATCATGTCGCGGCATTACAATATTCCGAAGCCCTCCACTTGACGGCTCGATGGGAACTAACAAAAACGAAATGCCTCCCCGTCGCCATACTTTTCTTCTTTTCCTTGGTCTTGGCCTCTAAAACTTTAATCAAGGACAACCCTGTCTCAGCGATCCTGTACTGTTAAATCACCTCTCTCTATGGAAAATTTACTGTGGCTCCTTTCCCTCCTTACTGACACCTTTTCAGCTCATAATTGAAGCAAGTTTGTGCCACGCACTTCTTGAACGGGTATCTAAAACAAGATTTTCACTTCACGCCGTATGCGATTCACAGGTAAGCTTTTTTACTGAGTTTTATTACCGATTCTTCTCTTTCTCTTTTCTACGTAAGCGTTGTTACACCTAGCTAAATTGATCATTTTAGTTATATCGTCGCTGGCCCCAAAGGTGATCGAGCACAGCAGACTCAAATTATGATGAAATGCAAGCAAAGTGACTGCGATGTGACCGTGAAAGTGGCCAAGAAAAGGAAACTAGATGTGGTAGCTGACGAGGATTTTATAGTGCTGGAATAAGTTGAGCTCAAAGGATTTGAGACTGTTATATGAAGACTTCCAAGAGGAAGATGGCATAGTTCACGATGTTCATTCATAGATTGTGTACGATTGTTTTTCTATTCGTTTCCTCTTGAAACAAGTACTAGAAAACTGTTCGTGTCATCAAAAGCGACCTTCTTTTCCTCTTCTTTGTCTGTATCAGACTTGTTAGTTTTTAGGTGCTTTCTGTATTTCGGGTTATTTATTTCGGTATTGTTGTCAAGTTTTTATGTTGTTTTGTTGAAGATCTCGTTGTCACAAGGCTTACAGTTTGTTTGCAAGGCAATTCAGTAATGTGAACAGTTAAGCCAATAATAATTAGTGAGCGGCTCCCATGAGCTGTACGAGAATAAAATAGAATTTTAATCCGCTTTTTGTTCCTTTCCGTGGTTCAAACCATATCTTTATCTTCTTGACAGAATCATTGGTTGGTTTGTACATTTTTTTCTGCTCAAAGGCCACACAATCTCATTCGCTGCAGATGAAGGGGCGTGTCTAGCTGGATGGGTATGGCCCGGCGCTAAACCCATTTTCCTCCAATTTTTGAAAGCGAACGAAACTGTACTCTCGAGAGCTCACAGCAGCAGTAATGGTATAGACAGAGCCTGAGATATCATTAAAGATTCGGCGTGAAAGACCTACTCTCTACTTGCCTGAAGTCTCCGTCGTCTCTGGCGCTCCTAAGTGATCTGGAAACTGCCCTGCTTTCCTGGTACAGCTTCTTTTTGAAAAAGGGCACACACAGTGAAAGCAACGCACTTCACAAAAGGCGATTCCTTTTGAGGCTGCTTCGTTCACCGATGATGCAATTTTATTGGTGCAGCATTCCGTTAGCTTACGATAGTCGCAGTTTTACCAGGAGCTTCCATATTGAGTTTAAAGGATAAAGTCTTCGCCGTTGATCATTGTGGGATGCGGCACGCATTCTACTTCCATTCAGAATCGTAGTGGCTTATTGAATGCGATGTGGCCTATACAATGACTTGCGGTGGCCAGCCGATGTACAAGTCAGTGTTTTATCCTCCCAGACGAATCTGGTACCAATTTACCGTCCCCGGAGGGTAGAAGGCTTGGTTGGCCTGGGCGGGTGTCGACCCGGGATTCGAACCCGGCGCCGCGCGAGTGGTAAGCGCGCCACTTGTCACTACACCACCTCCGCCTCATATTGAGTTTATGTTACAACAGTTACCTCTGTGCTATTTCTGTTGTTTTTTCGTGGGCGTTTAGCGGTGGAGGACGAGAAGGAACGACTTTTGACCCAAGATGCAGATGCACACAGCGGCGGCCGTATCGGTTTTTGGCATGAAATGAGCCAGTCTGGAGAAATCGTCCAGTCCAGGGGATCTGTTTTGCTTTGTGGGCAGTTCCGTTCGCTTTTTCTTTGCCAAGTCAGCTTAAAAAGCCCGCACCGCTGCCTCCCATTCTTTATTTTCGAAGGCCTTACCCTAGGACGACAGTCATTTGCACTTCATGTCGATGTCAGTATGTGGGGAGGGTCGCGAAAGTATCATATCCTGTTCCGTTTAACGTTTCGCTGTCATCGGCCCTTTACCCATAAGAAAGTTGCTTGCGTCCAGCAATGCTAACTCTTTAAGCCCGACTGTGACTTAATCCCGTTCACTGGCCCGGCCAACTGCGCTCGATTCAAACGTTAACAATAGCCTTGGTTTCTCAACCACCAGCTACACAGCGATTCAAATCAACCTCGCCTTTTGTTGCCTTTTTCGGGAATGTACGTGCCGGCTTATACGTGTTGCATTTATTGCGTTTATTTTTTTAGACATTTTGAACATTACATGCCTGTGTCAGATCAAGAGTAAACAGAAAACCATGGCAGACGACGCTGCAGCTGCGAAACCAAAACCTGCAAATCGGCCGGACAATACGACGGCTCGACGTACTCGAATGTTGCGTAAAATTAAGGTATGATCTACTGCTTACGGCAATATGGTGCCTAGTCAAAATCCGCGTTGAATTTCTACCGTAATTTGCTCGTAAAGTTAGGACTGGCTGTGAATACTTCGCGGGGTAACATGACCCCCCCCCGCCCCTTACCGAGAGCTGAGCGTGTTTGGGTGGGCCGCACATGCTGCAAAATAGGATTCGACGGCAAAACTTCGAAATGGGGAAAGTTTAACGTAAAATACGTCAGAATAAGGATGACGCTCCATGTTCTGTACTATGTACATCGAAAATTAAATAGAGTGAAAATAAAAATAAAATATCATGGGAGTTGTCCATTTGCGCAAATAATTTATCATTTCTTCTTCAGATCGAAGACGAGTACCTTAAAAAGATGGCTGACGAAATTATGGCCGAAAAAAGACGTCTTACTTATAAACGTGAACTTATCGCCAATATTCTTTGCGACAAGGAATCGGCCGAAACAAGTGGTGCATGAATGAATGCTGGCTCGAAGCGTGACGGATGCAGCCAGGACTTCGGCTTCTGATTACGCGGTATTGATCTGGTATTTGCAAGTGTTTATGTCATTTTATCTTGAGAGTTCGACCGGACTGTACGTAGTTTTTGGTTTTCTACTTTTATTCTGTTGCACGAAAATTTGAAGCTGGTAGAAAGTAATGTTCAATATCAACCGGTCTGTCTAATATAATGTAGATATTTTGGTGGTTTTGTCTTCAAGTCATTGGTTTCTTTTAAATTCCTTGTTTTAGAAGTTTCTCGATAAGTTCTTTTCCCCCTTATTAATGCGTCAACGCCGTTCGACTTGGTGAGACATTTTGCTGGTTCTCTTAGGTATGTGACAAAGAAAATCGTAATTCGCGGGTGTTCGTGGGCGTCGCGTGCGACGTCTCGTCTGCAAAGGACGATGGTTCCAGGTAGTAGATGGCGACAACATGCAATTAAGGACCGAAAACAGTAATGACTGTCTACGATGACGGGGTCTACATGAAGTCCGGTGCTTCATTCGACAGGTTAAAACGAGTTATGAAAACGCCGCGCCCATCGCCGCGCGTGGCGGTGCGGCGAATTACGATCCTCTTTACCGTCTCCTTCTCCAATAGACCATTGCTGATGCCTCCTGTGAAGACCTGTAAATTCCTGTTAAGATGTGCAGTAGCATGAGCTTGGTTCACTTTTGACGAAAGTCTGCACAAATGAGACGTGTAATTTAACAAGTATTAGCAAAAGAAAGTAACGAAGTGTGAAATGCTCTCCCAAGCCGAATAGCACCTGAGCTTCCGTCTCTTTTGTTCTTTTTTGTGTGCATTGATTTGTAGTGTCAGTTGAGACTCTGATTCATCGTTGTTAATACTGTTGACTAAATTACTCCTAAGTAACTTTATCTATCTTTTTACATTGTCTTGATTTTTATCAGCCCTACCGCGACAGTTTCGACAAATGCATTGTTCTGCAGTGCATATTGCTGTTATAATGCTTGGCACATTGTTTGTTTCGATCTCCCAGTAAAAGAAGTATTCCGTAGTTCGTTTCTGTGATATGCTCGTTTAGCGATCAAATACTGTGATCTTTCAATAATGTAATGTTTTGTCAGTTATGCTGATATTTTGACCAGCTTTCATGCTTTTCAGCTCGCTATGACTGCTTTCGAAGAGTTGGGAGTCATTCCCGAATTGGGTGATGCAGTTTCTGAACTCGGATGGGAGTAAGTGTTCAAAGATTTTAATGATAAATTCTGACTATGAAGTGTTTTTTGGTCCAGCGGAGAATCTTTAGGACTACCTACTTGTAAATTTGCATGCAAGTAGGGTAAGACACTACCCTACTTGCAAGTTTTCATTGTTTTAATTTATACTCCATATCACAGCGGTAGAGAGGGCGCGGCTTTATTCCTCACTCGCAGCCGCCGAAATGAAGTGCGCAGCCACACCCTCTCCGCCCCGGGATATGAAGCGTCAGTGGAGCGCCTAACTGGTTTCAACGACTATTTTCGCGTCAAAGTATCGCTTTGTTACGCCCAGCACACGGTTTTTTTACGCTTTGCGTAGCCTTTTCTTTTTGCCCAAAACCCCAAACCCTGGCATGTTTAAACTCTGACGCGAAGCATGAACGTACTTTTAGGGAAGGAAGAAAAAATGGTTTCTCAGTGCAATATTATTCCGCAAAAATAAAATATCTGGTTCGATGAGTACTTCTTCGCTGTCGACCTCTTCAGTCTTTTTTCTCATTTGTCCGTTTTTTTTCAACATAGTGGATTTCCATTTCCAGTGTTTTTTGTTTGATTGAGTTTATCTTTTACGTTCTATTTTTCCCTACAGTCTGCATTTTTCTGAGTATCGGGACTCGAACAATGTTTCGAATCGAGTGAACCTTATTATTAATCTGAGTGAGATCATTTGAGTCAATTGATTTGTGAAACTTTGCTTGTATAAACTTACACAGGTATAAAATTTGTGAATTGAAATCCTATGATTCAGACTGCCAACTCCCATTCAATGCGATGCGATTCCGGCTATCCTTGGTGGAGGCGATGTACTCATAGTGCGTTTCTATGAAGCTTCATATCACCGTGTTTTGCAGTTTGGTTATATTTCATGTGAAAGCCTATTCTAGGCTGCTGAAACTGGTAGTGGTAAGACCGGAGCATTCTCTCTACCGGTGGTTCAAATAGTGTGGGAGAGGCGCAAAGAGGGAACGGGTGGTGGAGCGAAGTCTTGTAAGTTTTCTAATTGTGCTTGTGTCGTTTCACAAATGATTCGCCCACAAGCG